ACTATCGGCCATGCAAAACAGTCGGTATAGTATGCAATTGGATATCAGAGTTTCGATACTTAGCAAAGTCGAAACAAATTCGAAACGAAACAAATTCGAAACATTTTGGCAAAAAGGCGACCTAAAATAATGGTCGCCTGAGTTATATTAACAGCCGGCCAGAAGGACCGGCATAAATATTCATACCCCCGGCCCCTTGGCCGGGTAAAAGATACAAAAAGAAGCCGGTCATTAAGACCGGCAAAATATTCAAAACCCCGGCCCCCTGGCCGGGTAAACAGAAACAAACGGCACGCAGGCCGTAAAAAGAAGACATAAAGCTTAAGAAGGGGGCAGATCTTCAATAATAGCAGCTGCCGCCTGGTCAGCACTCTTTTTGCTGGACTCGGCTTCAGCTGCATCCTTCTTCGATGCATCCACCCCAAGCGGCACAAGCGCCACTACCGGCTCCTCCTCCTCCAACGCCTCGTCCTCAGCAGCCGCCGTGATCTCTTGATTATATCTATCAGAACACTGGCGGTACGTTTTTTCCCATGAGGAAAAGTCGGCATTGGGGAAGAGGCGGCTCCAGGTCAGGCGCTGGATCTGAGCAGAGTCTTCCATCAGCTCTCGGACCATCTCCTTCTTTTCTTGCTCGGCCTTTGCCGAGAGCTCCTGAGTAAGACTCTTCTCCTGGGTCACCAAGCGTTCCTTAACGTGTGCCAATGATTTCTCCAAGGTGTCGTATGACGACATTTTTTGGCGAAGAGGTCTCAGCTCGGCCTTGAGATTGTTGATGGTTGCCTCCAGCTCATTATTTTTCTTCTGGGCCACCTCCAACTGAGCCTGGATAGCAGAAGTAGCCTGCGCCTGATAATAAAGAATATCAGTTGTCAAAATCTCATTTTGGGCAATTTGAAACATAGCCTTATCACAGTCAGAGGCGGCCATAGCTTTTGCAGCCTTTACCTCTTTGTTCTTCCTGTCAAGCGGCTTGCGAAGGCCGTTCACTCGGAGTAGAGCCTAAGTAAAAGGGAACAGGCGTCAGTTTTCAAACAAAAAACAGGCGTCCTGGAATTTAAATAACCAAAAATATGCTAAGTATACCTCAGCAAGGACCCCTGCAATCCCGTCTAGGTCAAGGGTGCCGACACCCCTGACCGCCTCCCTCTCAGCTGGAGAGACGACTTTGATCATAGACTTGGCCACCTCGACCAAGTCTGGCTCCTGAGGGCCGGCTGCATGAAGCATAAACAAACGGGTTAGACCTAGTAAAGAAGGGAGCAAGTCTAAATTCACAAGGACAACTTCATACTTCTAGGCGGCCTGATTGGAGTTTTAGAAGGAGTGGACGGCTGTTTCTCAGCCGCCGCATGTTTCCTGGCAGTACCAGGAGAGCTCGCAACAGTCGTCCTCCGGGTCTTGGAGTCCGGCTGTTGGGAAGAAGAGGTTCTTGGAGTGCCCGTCTGAAAAAAAAAAAAAAAAAAAAAGAGAGAGTGAAAGGTTCGGAGCTCACCAAGGGCGCCCCCTTGTTGGGGGAGTCGGTTGAGGATTGTTGCATAATAGAGGCTCGCAACATGGCCGCCGCAGTCTTGGAAGCGGTGATCTTGCTCATGGCGTCCGCTACAAAGACAAGATACCAAGTTAATAAAAAGATAAACAGTAACTCATGGCAAAAAAGAGTATTCGACAGGCCGGCTACCTCTTGAACACCGACTGGTAAGGCCACAGGCGGCCAGAAAGTACTCGTCATAGAGCCATTTGAAGCTCGGGACGCAGTGCAGGGGTACTTGCTCTCGTACCCCTGTAGTAGAGTCGACCCTCGACTCTACTTTAAGGAGTCCTTTATCCAGGATCTCTTTCTTGGCTTTGGGGGGAACAGGCGGCATGCTGCGGCCGCCTGCAAGAAGAGGCGGATCCCTGTTCCACCTGTTGAAGCGCTTGTTCAGCTCTGTGTCTGAACTTTCAATGATAAGGAAGGTGCTTCGCCAATCCTTCCACTTGTTTGCTTTACCTCTTGTCATGAGGTAGCCTCTGTGGCTCGTCAATTGATACCAGCCGGTACCGCCTGCCTTAGGGGTCCGGCTGAGGTAGTTCATGTGGGCGAAAGCCTCGAAGTTTGGCTCCACCCCGTGCAGTTCGCACCCGGCCACATAGCCGAGTACGTTGAACCAGGAGTTTGGGGCTAACTGCCATAACCCCAACTCATACCCATCCAAGATCCGCTGAACAGCCGGATGTAGTGGGAAGCGCAGCCCAGCCCTGATGGCCGCCTCGTAGCAGCCAAAGCAGGCGCTATCATAAATAGTACCAGCCGGCCAGACGACTGTGTCTTCTGGATCCGGCACGAAAACTAAAAAGTCGGGGCCCATTGTGTGGTTCGCAATAAAACTCCCCACTCTCTCTTGCATGGCCGTGATCCGGCCCCGTGGGACAGTGCAGTAGTAAGGGGTATTTTGCTCTCGGTAAGAGGCGGATGGCTCCGCCCAATTGTCCCCCTTCTCAACTGCGTGAGAAAGTCTCGCCTCTTGTAGGCGGTTGTTTTTCTCTTCCGTGTCCAGAGAAGCATGACCAGAAGAACTAGACTCGGATTCGTCCTCTGACGAGTCCGAAGAGGACGACTCCTCCCCTCTCCCAGAGGGGCCCGCCTTCTCTCCTTCAAAAGGAGTAGGAGAGAATGTAGACATGTCAACTGTAAAATGGGAAAGGGTCACCTTGACCCCTCCCTCAGAACTGTCGGCTGTCAAGCCGCCTTGGTTCACTTCCACATCTGGCGCCTGGTCAGATGTTTCACTAATCGGCACCCTGTGGGAGGAGTCGTCTGAGTTCGAGATCCTAGCAGTTCTTTTTGTTCTGGCCATCATGTTCTGCATAGACACAGAGACAGTCGGACTTTGTATAAAGGGCAAAGATGGGTCCGGAAAAGGGCAGGCGGCACTCCTAGTCCTAGATTCAGCCGTCCCCGGTGACCGGCTGATCACTAACCTAGGTCGTGTCATGTGCTTCCGTGGTGCTATTTCAAAAAAGAATAAAATAAAGAGAAAATTAAGAGTAAGAGAACCGACGCTTACCTGAACGAGTGAAGTTGACGGAGTTCTGAAAATCCTGAGTAGCCGGCTTGTCAGAGCAGACGGTAGGCAGAAAGAGTCCGAAATGTCAGAGCAAGTTCAGGGGTCCGAATGTTCTCTCTAAAAAGTTCTCAAGTGTGAAAATGACTGAAGTCAACACACCCTTATATAGGCAAAGTGAGAAGGCGAAGGGTCACTTCCAAAATTCAAAATTTGGGCGGGAGAATCTCTCGGCCTTTCACCGAGTGACACCTGTAGCAGGCCGTCGCCAGTCACGTGCCACCTGTGAGGGGCAAATGATTAGGGGATTTTTATCCACCAATCAGCATCCGACACGTGGGCCAGCCAGGTTTCGCCACGTGTCCTTCATGAAGGCCAATAGGAGCCTGCCACGTGTCATCAAGAGATTCGTCCTCCTTGGACCAATTGCAATGTGACACGTGTCCACCCATGCCAAATGGGAAAACCGGCCAACAAGGCCCAATCATTGTGGGAGGCCCAGTCAGCCTTAGGTTTAACCTAAACCTAGTACTGGCACGCATCCCAAGGCATATAAATATGCCCATTAATCCTCATTAAGGGAGATTACGCACATTTAACACTCTCACCTAGAGAGACCCAATTACTTTTATTTCCGCATTAATTACTCCTTAATCAAGTACTAACTTGACCGTCGGAGGCGGATCTCCAATTGTCCGGAGCATCCGTTTGTTTTGCAGGTACAGGCGTCCGGTTCCAGTCTCAGAATTGTAACTCTCCCGCAGGACATCAGAAAACCCCGAAACAAAATATATTTCGTGGAATTCTAACAAATTGTTAAAGGCTGTAAATAATTCAATTTGAATGGAACGGGTTGTAAACGGTTCGGTTTAAATAGTTTGTAATCGGATCGGTTTAAACGGGTTGCGGTTTGAAAATAGTTCGGTTTAAACGGTTTAATGGGTTATAACAGTTCGGTTTAAACGGTTAGCGGGTTGTAAATGGTTCGATTTAAACGGTTTTTTCCTACGGTTTAAACGGTTTCGGTTTATAAACGGTTCGGTTTAAACAGTTAGCGGGTTAACATTAATCGGTTCAAACGGTTTTTGTTTATAAACGGTTTGGTTTGTTATTGGTTTACGGTTCGTAACGGGTTAACATTAATTGGTTCGGTTCGGTTTCGGTTTGACATTATACGGTTCAGTTCGGTTTTCGGTTTAAAATTAGCGGGATATAAACGGTTCGGTCCGTGATGGTTCGGTTCGGTAACGGACGGTTTCACGGTTCGGTTTGAAAAGTCCCACCCCTAAGAAGTACGTCCAACCAAAGAAAGGGGTAGGGCAACACTACCAAATACCAGCTCATATTTACAATCTACCTTAACAGAAGTAAATGCCTTACATTCATCACTACTTTCATTGTTCAAGACCTAAAAACTTCACCATACTTTATTCCTTGGTCCCTTAATAATAGTGATTATATATAGTATTAAATTGAGTTGTGATTTTAATTGATTCTTCTCTATGTAAAGTTGTACATCTTCACGATATATGTTACTCCACAAGCTTATATTCTTTTCAATATTTCGAAAAAGGGTATTATGAGCAAGTCTAAAGTAAAAATTCCAAAATCAAAGTATGTCTAAGATAGTAATACGTGATATTATCTACATGCAAATAGAGTAATTTCATCGAAGCACCGATGATTCAGGTTAGATCTTTTTCAACTGATGAATCATTAGAGTCAAGGCATAGTCGAATCTAGTGTTAGTAGTTAACTTGTTTTAATATAGTAACCTATACATGTAACATTAGTTTTCAACTATTGATCAATTCAGTTCGAGTCAAAATCAAGCCAATATAATTCCATATATTTTCACATTAGGTAAAATGATTAGGTATGAGTCAACTTTATCAAGTTTACATGCACAAAAAAGACGTAAGGGAAAGGGATGGCTTTGTAGAAATTATAGAGTACCAAAGGAGAACGGATTTTCATTGAAAAGTATTCCATACATATAGTAAAATGAGTATGTATGCTTATATGAATGCTCAAACAAACAATAAGAGCTAGAATACATTTTATATGAACAACAAAAGTCTGAGAAAGCAATATAAATATAAATACTACTACTAGTTTACTACAACAAAATATGAAAAATGGTTAAAAGGCAGGCATAGAAATGAAACAGTATCCTAAGAATGAACTAAAGAACAAATAATTGGCCCCCTTTTTTTTCACTTCTGCTATTTCTTTCTTAATGACTCTTGGCCTTTCAGTCAACCTCTTATACCTGGATGTTCTGAAAAATCATCTATTTCTCTCTCTCTCTCTCTTATTTATTTACTTCCATGTTTCTGGTCCAAATGCTAGGTTGTCCCTGCCAGACCCTTTTGTTGGGTATAGGAAATTTGTAACCCCACAATCAAAAAAACTTCCCTTCTTTTTTTCTGTTTATAAGAAGGAAAAACTAAAACAAAAACAAAAACAAAAATAATGCACGTACCAATTTCTCAACTAAGATAAGAACCTCCCTTTCACTAATCCATCCATCCTAAAACAATGCTTAATCAACGATAAACTCAATTATCCCGGGATTGGTTATTGATCGATCGCGCTTTGTCAGTCTGGCAGATCAGGATTTTGGTCACTGTCTCTGAATGTTAGCTTTCTCTTTGTGCCTGATGTACTTGGTTTATCAGTAGTAGTTTGTTCAACTTCAGTAGTCAAGTTAGGAGTACTAGGATTTTCCTTAGAACACAATCTCTGCATCAAGCTATAACAGGAAACCAATTGCTTCTCCTGCTGCTGCTTCTGCTGCTGCAGCATTACAATCATGTGAACAGAATCAGATTACAGTTGCTCCAATCTACTACATTTTACTCCAAACTCCTCATCTCAACTCACGTAGTAGCGTAGTACCCATATCGGATCCTCAACACTCCCACATTGTCACATGAATATCAAAAACACTATATTCAAGTCCAACACTTGGACACGTACCCAAATCCGAGTAACACAAGTGCTAACAATGCATTCATTGATTAATCACAAATTTAAAGAGAAAGAAATCTTACATCATCTGAAGTCTGCCACAATGAAACAGTACTAATCCTAAGCTTCAAAGCTTCTTGTGTTAATTGCCAATCAATAGCAGCAACCACTGCCGCGGCAGCAACCACAAATGGATAATAATCACCAACCGAATTACTCTCTGCATCATCAAACCAAACCATATATTATACATAAACAACACAAATATACAATAACATAGAAACTACATAAGATTGATAAAAGATTATACCTTTAATAAACCCCATTACTAATTGAGTTCCTCTTGAAATCAATCGATCAACATTTTGATCATCCAACTTAGAAGCATAGTAATTAAGGTAAACAAAAGGAGTACTCAAAGTCATGTTCCATTCCAAAGTAGTTAAAACAAGAAGCTCCATATTTTGCATCACATTTCTTTCGAATTCGAAATCGGGTACTTGATATTCTGATAATGCAGGCACTTTACATTCGTCCATTTTCGCAGCCAATGATAAACATGCTACTCCTAGTAATGTAACTGCCCAAGGTTGATGATCCTACCATATTATAAAAATTAATCAAACCCATTAATAAAATTGATTCAACATTTCATTTTCAACAACCAAATAAATAAAAAAAAAATAAAAATAAAGATAATGATAAAAAGAAAACTCACATAGATGTATCTTCTTGATAAGAAACGGTCCAAGTACAAGATTGATAAATAAGCAGTTTGATTTTGAAACCCAAATGAATCTTTAGCCTACATTAAACAAACAACAAATCAAATTAATAAAAAAAAAATGATTAATCAATTTAATTGAGTGATTAAAAAAGGGGGAGAAAAACAACGCACATACATTGAGAATCCAATTGATGGCAAGAGCACGAGAATTCTTTAACCAAGAAGGGAAATTGGAAGAAGAATTAGACGATGAATTAATCTCTCTTCTAACCAACATTTGAAGATAATAATCATCTTCAGAATCCAAATCTTGGTAGTACGGAACTAATTGAGAATTCTGAAATTGGGTTTCCTGATTTTGTTCATCTCCTTCATTTAAGTAAGATTTATCTTCTCGACAGAGTAGATTAGATGATGAAGGTTGAGAGCTTGAACCCTCCATTATTTAATTAATTTTTTTTTTTAATAATTTTCTGGGGTTTTGGGGTTGGATTACATGAAGAATTTACAGTAGTAGTAGGAAATTAAAGGAGTGAAGAAAGAAGAAAAAGTTGGAAAAATTGAAGTGCTAAAATAGGAGAAAATTTGGGATTGAGGTAATCTAAGAGGAAAGAGGAGAGAGGATTCTGGCGCTAAAAGAGTGTCTAAAAGGTGTGGGGGAGGTGTTGAGAGCGGTTTTGGTGCCGCCAAAATTAGCGGATGTGATATACAGATTGTGTTTTTTTTTTCCAGCGGTTATATATGAACTAACTGTTGTTTTTTTTTTTTGCACTCACTTAACTTTCAGTTTCTTCTTCCAATTTTTTTTTTTAATTTTTTTTGAAGTGATTGACTGCTATGTAAAATGTGGGTTGAGGGGTTAACTGATGGTAATAAAGTCAACTAAGGCCGAGTTTGAAAGTAGTGTATGTATGTCATATTGCAATGTGTATGTGGTGCATTTAAGTGTATACATTAGATAGGTGGTATTGTTTTGTTGCATATTCGCATGTAATTACACGTGAATGTGGGAAAATTAAATTGTTTATTTGTTACGTACATGTGTTAGTTGTGCGTATTTGTAAATGCATGGTAGACGGTTGGATTCGATATTAGATTTTAGTATTCATAATATACTTTAATACGAGTATGTATATTGCATCTTATGTTTAAAAAAGGAGAATTGCAATGCAGTGGTTGACTAATTCATGTGACTATTTTAGAAGTTCACTAATACTTGACACTATATGGTCAGTATTGAAAATAATTATAGAGAATATTAGCTATTAAGCTATTTTTAGCAAAGTATATAGAATTGATTTGGATTTTGGAGAATATCTACAAAGATAAAGCATGAATATTCATAATATTTTAATAAAAATAATAGATAAAATGAACTTCACAAGGGTTCTCAACTGAAAAACATGGCCTCGTCTCTTTTTGGAGCAAAGTCATGGAAATGGATAGTTATTACTTTATTAGGCCAGCATGAAGGGGAAATCATACAAATTACAGTAATTAAATCTATTTATCTTGTATTTTTGTTAAATACACACTAATCTAATCATCTAATAGGTGATTAATAAAGTTTGACGATCGGTCAAAGAGTATTTTTCTAACTTACTTATAAAAGAGTCTAAATTCAAAGATATAGTTGAAAATGGTAATTTAATTGTTTTTTTAATTCTTTTTTTTTTTTTACTTTTATTCAAAACAAAAATTCAATAAATTTACCATTTTCTGCTAAGTATATCTTTTCTAATGAAGATAACAATCAGATTCCTATCACCTTAAACAAACTATACTCTCTTAACCTCTGTTTTCTACTCCAAATACTATAATATATCCATGGATAAATTCGGATTTAATCAATTCTAATTAGTAAAAATCATCATGATTGGTAACTTATTGAAAAACACAAAAGCAAGGGAAATAAATAGTAAGAAAAATATACAAATTAATTAAAAAGATTCCTCTCAAGTTTCCATATAAAGAATATTGTTTTTTAGGATAAGAACTCGAGATGATTTCATGTTAGCCACATAGCTGGTATCTTAAAGCTGTATCATTTGACAATAAAAATATTTATTTGTTGATGTAAAATAAGAAAAGTTGATCAGGAAAAAAGAAAAGTTAATTTAATTATCTGATGATACATACCATTTAATCATTCATACATATTTATCGAATTCGAACCTATGAGCTATGTGCCTGAAGCATACTCCCAAAAAAAATCATAAGATTTGGGAAAGTATTGCATTCTTTCAATTAAACATTGCTAGGGGGCGTTTGGTATTAATATTGGAAATGAAGTAGAAAGGAAACAAATAAGAGGGATTAAAGGAAATAAATAACTCTTACCTTCATTTGTTTGGTTTTATCATGGAATGGAATCACTTAGGGGTCGTTTGGTTCAGGAATGGATTGGTATGGATTCTATATTTCATACCAATCTAAAGTTGTTTGGTTTAATCATGAAATAGATTCTCATACTTGAATAATAGTATGGATTATGAATTTTTAGGGAGGAGGTGGGTATGAGATTCCAATGGAATGGGGTGGAGTTAGAATCTCCCAGGTATGAGATTTCATACTTAAATAGCCCAACCAAACAAATAAAACCATTCCAAGAAGTTCAACCAAACAACCCCTTATACCTACCTCTTTTTCTTTTTTATTTAAGGAAGGTAAGGATATTTGTTACCTCAAGTTTTAGAGAGGTAATAAGTAGGTGGAAACCATTACCCCTAGATAATGGTAATGGTTACCTAAACCTTCAAACCAAACACTTGGTAACGGTAATGGTTTAATTGAATCCATTTCCACTCCAAGAAACACTCTTACCAAACATGCTTTTAGTCACTTTTTATGAAATAACGAGTAGGGGTGAAACTAATGCGGTTTAAAAGCGAACCAAATCGCAAACCAAACCGAATTAGAAATGTGGTGCGGTTTTTTTTTTTTTTTTTTTCTAATATGGTTCGGTGCGAATTGAGGAATCCCAAAACCGAATTAATATGGTTTGGTTTCGGTTTTAAGATTTGAAAACCCAAAAACCGAAATCCAAACTGAATTGTGGCCCGCATCCAAATTATAGCCTAACCCAATACTAATTTCTTTCCTACATATATAGCTAAAAAATAATAGAACTTGTGTATTTTTATATCCTAGAATGTCAACCAATGTGGGTGATGTGGAGTGAATGACCAACTAGATGGAGCAAAAAGAAGAGGATGAAAAATTTCGGTGTGATTCGGTTTTCTTTTGAAAAACCAAATTTAAAATGGTGTGGTTTGGTTCGGTTTCAATAGTAATATGGTGCGATGTGGTTTGAAAAATCCCAAAACCGAATTAATGTGATTTGATTTCGGTTTGGGCTATAAACCACACCGTAAACCAAACTTTCACCCCTAATAACGAGATGAAGAGATTAGAGCTACAATGAAAACTTGTATTGTAGTGATTTTTTAGTTGAGCAATTCTCTCAATAGATATAATAAATACTAATTTTTTTCTTATTATTTGCAACGATTATACATTTTTCACTCACACTTTATGTCAAATCGTTGCAAATAATATAAAACGTAAGTAGTACATTGATTTAACATTATTGTAGATTTTTTACTTATAAGTTGTGTTATGTAAAATACATTGTACTTTCACTAAATATAATTTTAAATCATACGCATATACGAAGTAGAAAAGAAATTCTTTATCGAACGCTTTTTAGAATGAATACACCAATTTCATTATTACCTATATAAAATGTAGATATTACTCTTATTATACGAGTAGTATTCATCAAATTATACTCTTATACGAGAAGCGAGCACAGATGAGTTTAATTAGCAAACACGAGCATCATCCCCGTGGGAAGAAAACAGAAAAAAGAGTGGGACCACAACGTCATTCCATGTTATAATTATTTTGCTTAATTTGGCGCCAAAATAATGGAACATTTCAACTATCAATATTGACTACTCTAATTCCCAACTGGCAAATACCCCTTATAAAAATAATCACACTTTGCCAGTTGGTATTTGTTTTCCTCTCTGGTTGGTTTGGGACTGCTGCTTCCACAATTTCACTACTATTGTGGACTTTTCACTCTATCTTTTACCACCATCCAAAATAGCATAATCCAAGAAGGGTGCATCTCATTTCCAAAGGTCACAAATGTTTATACGTAGTAAGATTTTTACTTTATGGTATTATGTGAGAAATTAACTGCTAACATTGTCATGGTTTGACCAAAAGTCAACCATAAACTATAAGTATGTAAGAAAATACGCATTTTTGCTAGCTAGTCAATCAATTTTGAACCGTGTATGCTATAAACGAAACTCAATGTTTAATTAATGTACCAATGAATTATGAATACATGTAGTTCAAGCCTACGTATATAAAGTATATCTCAACATTAACATGTCTTAGTAATTATTACGTCTATATCTTACTTTGCACAATCGTCTCCTGAAAAACTAGTTTTTATTGGTGTTTATTAACTGTAGGATGACTAAGGTTGTCGTTTGTTGTCTCAGTATGTGATATGATTATTCAGCTTGATTTATTGGTACCTTTGGGGAGAACACACAACCTGGACATGTGAGAATGTGGTTCAAGCTCCTTTTTTTTTTTTTTTTTTTTTTTAAAAAAAAAAAAAAAAGTGCAGTATCTACTCATCCCATAATCATATTTAAAGTTGTATGAACCAATGCCAAATAAAATGGACGAAATTCACAAAAGCATAATTACAGAGTACATCAAAGTAGGAAATATATTTAATATTTACGCATAACTATACAAGAAAGTTAATATGACAACCAATTAGCGGGGACATAACTCTTTCTCTACTAACATTCTCTACATTTAAGATGTAGTAAGACTTTTTAGTTCGTTAATCCTATGAAAAAGCAAGCCATTCACAACGCTTTTCTTACAAATTTATTTTGTTATACTAGCTTTTTCATTAAATCAAATGTGAAATCTACTTAGAAACCTAAGGATTTTTAAGGAGCACTAGTATTATTGTTTAGTAAATTTAGGTTCCATTTTTATAACTAGATCGAAAATTATCCCTAAATCGTGTCTCAATTTTGGCAACAAAACATTAAATTGTTACTTCAAGTCACCAACCCAATTTTCCAATTTCCTCCCTACTTAAATTTAGATGCTACACTATAATAATTTATTGCAATTTTATTAAATTAGTGTATTTGAGTCCCCATTTATCTTCCAACCCACCTAGCCATAAACGTGGCTGTCAATATATAAAATTAAAAAACATAAAAGTAATAAACGTGTGACATTTATACTATCACTCACTTCACAAAATCAATTTGCTGTCTACCTAATTCTTAAGCTACAGTATCTCGTGTCTACCTAATTTAACTAAATGAATATAATAATGTTAGTAAAAAATAACACAAGTATAAACACAAGTATAAGTCAATGACACAGTTGCTAGTTGATATTCGATCTGATAATTAAAGCTTATAGTAACTCTTAAGATTCCAAAAATAGAAGGTAACAATGTATATAGCTAGATTAGAATTAGGTGGGTAAACATAACACTAAGAAATATAAGGTAATTTTTTTATTCTTTTTTGGTTGTTTAGAGAGCCACAAGAGCGGATGATGAGAATCGATTATAGAATTCCCTGAAATCGAGATATTTATTTGAGCTATCACTCACTCTTTAAGAATATGATAATTTAAGTTATCTTTTGTTGAGAAAGTAGGTTTATCAAGAGATTC